TTCTCTCTATTTGGTGAAATCACTTCGGCTCTATGGATCTGCTTTGTGTGAATCCTTGCCGGCAACGATTTTGTTCCATTTGAATATGCATTCAACCTAAAATTATGTACGGTCATTTCAAAGCTCTCGAAAAAATTAGCGGCTGGAATGAATATTTATGTTTATGATTTCGTTCTGAGTCCCATTATTGATTTAACCAGTAGCTGTGACGAAAGCAGAAGCCGTTATCGTCATCAATTCTTCTTCACTATTTCGCTCGTGTGCGCATGTCTCACATACAACCTTAGGGCAAACGATCATACGTCAGCAATGTGCACAAATAAACAAATTTGAGTGAGAATGTGAGCTAACGAAAGAATGAAAGTTAGAGTGAGAAAGCGATACAGAACGATTGAAAAACGACACCGACATTTATGTGACATGAGGCATTAATTCACATTTTAACGATGTTGTTGAAAAATTTCATTTTGCTCCATAACGAAAATGTCTGAAACACACCCATCGCTTTGCAGCTAAAAAACGATTCATTTAATCATGAAATCAAAATCCATCGCGGCAAAATTTTTGGTCGAGCACAAATCTGTCGAAACGAACTGATTTTGTTGCTCGATTAAAAATAATTCTAATGGTTCTGTAACAGAACTTCTGTTGAAAATAAAAAGTCAATCTACAAAACAAAGTCAATTGCTATTGGCATGAGTGAACATGTCATTAGTGATAATTCTTTAAATAGAGTCTCCAGAGACCGATTTGCTTTCTTCAGCGATAAATGTTTAAACGATGCGATAATTTCTCGGATTAAATTTTATCTAAAAAAAATGAGGAATAAAATAGAATAAATACAAATCAAACTTGTATCGGAGGTGAATAGAAGCCAAACCGAAAAGGGGCATATACGAAAAGCGAATAAAAAGATAAAAAAAAACTTAAATAACTGTTTTGGTGTTGAAAACCGTGAAGTCTATAACAATTAAATGAAAATAAGACGAACACCTTATTGACTCCACAAAACGTTTTTCGATCAAAATATTCACATTTCATTTGTCAATTCAGATAAAAACTTGTAATGGAATTTAAACGAAACAAAAAACAAACAAAATAAAAATTCTAATCGACGGACCTGAATGCATTTCGTTGCGTTGTACGCAGCATCATCAGCAGACACGACTGATTATCAAGTTGCTCTCTCTCGTTATTTCTCTTCATTTCTTCCGCATTGTTGGCGAATAACACACAAAAATTCGCACCGTCACACAAACACATAAACACACAAAGAAATCAAAGCAAATCGAACAACGACGAGTCGATGTTGCCGTTGTCAAGGTTCATATTGTTCTGACTCTTTCTAATGAATATGCTTTCGTATGCGTCTAACCGTCTGTTGTCGATCACTTGTTTCAAGAGTCTCAAATTACGCGGGCCATGTAAATGTTCTTCTTCTAAAGAGTGTAAGGCTACAGCTGACCGATACGCTGCTCTGGTGTTGGTGCAGTACGTGTGTTCGCAGTATCTCACTTCAATCGGTCTCTTTGTTTGACCGATATACTCTTTTTCACAGTCACAACACTGAATACTATATATGCCCGATTTTTTTGTTGGTGGAGTTTTGTCTTTGGTCGAGCCCAATAAACATTTTAGTTTATTTTCATTTTTATACACAATTTGCATATTGAAATGCCGGAATGTGTGTGTTAGTTTATCGGTGATGCTCGGGTTATATGACAAAGCTACGCGTTTTTTCTCAACATAATCGGAGCTCGTTTTGTTTTGTTTGAAAAAAGTTGTCGATTTGTTCTTCTTAGCGTTCAACGAGTGGCGATGGACGATTTTATCAACAAAAGAGGCTGGGTAGCCGTTGTTTTTGGCTACGGTTTGCATATAATCATATTCAGCTTTGAAACTTGACACTGACAAATCGAATGAGCACAAGCGGTGGGCCATTGAATGGAAAGCCGCTTTTTTGTGTTGTATTGGGCAAAAAAAATCACTTGTTATCACTCGCGTTGTACTGGATGGTTTATGATAAATTGAAGTTTCGATCTTGTTGTTTACGCGGTGTAATTCAAGATCTAAAAATGCTAGTTTACCATTCACTTCAGTTTCATGAGTAAATTTAATCGACTCAAAACGCGAGTTTAGGATGCGGTTTATTTCTTCAACTTTTTCACTCTTTACAACAGCAAAAATATCATCGACATAACGATGCCATACGCGCGGTAAAAGGTTTTCATTTTTTAGTTCGGTTTCAAACACTGACATGAAGCATTCGGCTATGAAAGGCGAAAGGGGGTTACCCATTGTCGTGCCGTGTTCTATTTTATAGTACGTATCACGGAATTGAAAATAATTCTGTTGCATGCATCTGCGAGAGTGGCTTCCTCGTGCTCTTTCGAGCCTTTTGCGATGGCATTTTCCTCACGCTCAAGTTCGCTCAAGATCTCCTCGACGGTCACTTCATCTTGATTGACAGTGTCGACTTGTGAACTGGCTGTGTTTGGTTCGACCGACTTTTCATTGGGCAACGAAACCTGTGCTCCTTGACCAACTGCCAGTGTCTCGCTACTGAGAATTTCTACCTTCCCTTTTGAAGGATCAATAGTTGGTGTTGTTATGATGTCCTCAGTGAATGTGTCTGTGCGGAGAATGTTTGTGTTTGTTATTATATGTAGCTTTTTCGTGCTAGTGGCTGAATGATTGATATCGTTTACCTGACTCTTCCTCGGTGGACTTTCCCGATGTTCTGGCATGCTCTTCAGCGGAAGAAGTAGTGATGTAGTTCTTTTCTGGAGCTGCGACGAACTGTAGAGCTGGCATATTTTCTGGAACCGCTGTTAATTTTCATGAATTAACTGAATACTTGTGTTCTCCCTACTATAAAAATACTTACCAACTGGTGGATTGCTGATTGCTACCAACACATTGTTGGTATTAGGCACCGGGTAAAAACACCGGGAAGTCGTTGCCTGATTAATAGCGGGCGTTGCTCCCATGAAGGACAGCATTGAAGCGGCATTCTGAATGGTATTGCCAACGCCGGCTTGCACCTGATTGCTCATTTGAGACATGATGGTAACAATCATGCTTGAGAGCTCGGTGGGTGACATCTCGACTTTGGATGAAGTTTGGGATGCTGGTGCTGGCGGTGGTACTGGTTTAACGCCATGTCCGGTCGCGCGCCAGGGTTCGAAGCCGGGAGAATTGGGAAAGTAATGCGTTTCGTCCAGCATGTAGCCGCCATCACTACGAAATCGATTTGATTCCGTGGTTGATTGGCGTTTGACCGAATGCTGAGTACGCAAGTGCATGCGTAGTGGGCCATAGCCAGTGAAGTGAACCTTTTTCGGCAGGCAAAATAGGCATATGTACTGAAATGGGAGAATTTTCATCGTTTGTCATTTGGTGATTGACCATGGAGCAATCGGAAGGGCTCGATTGAATCATCGCGAATGGTACTTACGGTTGCTTGACGATCCATTTCGCTTTACAAACTTTTGAGTGTGTTGTTCCACTTTTTGAGCTAAAATTGGTTGGCAATTGCGTCTGGTGTGTTTTTCCACAAATCAAAAAGGTTTTTTCTTTCTGGTTTATATTTTTAGAGTGTGTTTTTTCCACTGTATGAATGAATCACGAACAAAAACCTAATGTTTTGACGCAACAGAAAAAACAATATGGCGACTTTAGTCGACTGACAGCCGTTCATGTGTATGGTGTGTTGTCTGGATGTGTTTGTCTCATTCGCGCATAGTGGTTGAACATAGGAATGCATATGCTATGATTGTATGGGTTTATTTAGAGGGAAAGCACTCATTATTTTTTGAATTAGTTGACGGTTTGAGTAACAAACGGTTTGGATGATAGACAGTTTGGGGCATTTTATTGGGACTTATACACACTAAATTGATTTAGTGGAGGCATACACAAGGTAAATCACTTGTTTTTTGATATTATTACATCAAAACCATTTTGGTTTTTAAGGTTTCTTCTCACATGTTTTTTACATGCTTTTTCTATTCTAAAAAATTGGCCAACTGGCCGGCGAGCCTCGAGTAGCTGCCATTGACCGTGAACCAATTTTCAGGGAACGGCTGATGGCAGTAAGCTACTTTCTATATGCATACTGATGATTGTAAATGAAAGAAAGTTCGATTGCTCGCTTTCATCTTCTTAATAGGCCTTTACGGTTTTATTTCACGTGGAAGGACTCACGGAATTGAGGCAGCATCAAATATAAACCATCCATTGGAACACAATGGTGCCAACGTATCGAAGAATGGTCGTTAGCATTGCTTGAAGGCCGGTGGAACACATTAATAATAGTTTTCTTTTAGCCTAGATCATGGATTCTGCTATGGTGTAGGACCACACCTACACTTATGTTCTAACAAACAGAAATGCCGTTGAAGCTTGTTCTGATACGAAGCATTATGTAGAATACTTCGATTCGGGATGTTGTGCTCACGTTTTTTGAATGATTCCGTGACTCTTTTCGTTCTCATCTCAGGCATTGCACTGAGCATCGGTTATTTGTTTCACACACTGACTCGTACATTTCATAATTATGCACTGTTTGAGTGGTGACTCTTGTATTTTACGGAAACTCGCGTAGAATTGTTGTTGGATTGAATCAAGTTTTTGATTGGTTTTTTGTTGTACTCATTTTGGGGATAATAACGAACAAGATTAGACTATCCACATGTTTTACTGTGCGTTTTCTTTTATTATTTTTATTTTTCTATATTAAGTTGGCCACAAAACTGGTTAATTGTTTGGATCGTGACTCTTGGGGCCACTCTGGACCTTGCCGCTGCATGTTTTCAATGTTTTCGGCTCTGAAAGATATCAGTATCTTACGGGAACTCACGTAGAAGGGGTGGTTGGATTGAATCACAGCTTTTTTGACGCTTTGAAGGGGGTGAATTTGCACATATTTCGTCAGATGGATTGTTGGCTGGCATGTTGTTATGCTCATTTGGGGATGGAACTTGTTGACAAATAAACATTGCCTGATCGGCTGGATCGAAAATTCGATGCCAGCTTTTTAAATGATCCGTCACTGCTGCTTGGCTGACATGTTTTTCACTGAGCACATCACACAGGGTACAGATATACTGTAATGAACACAAGAGTTTTAATGTTTTTTCTGGTTAAAAGACATTTTTAACTTACATTGTGTGAATCGTATAAATCGTCATACATCTTTTTGGGAAGAAAGCCATAGAGAATGGCACGCATCTCTTCTGATACCGGCTGATGTGAGACATACAGTCGTATGGTCATTTTTGCTGGTCCTTCTGTCTCATTGTTTGTTCCACATGTTCTTCTGTGCGTCTTTTCACGGACCGGCTCTGATGATGTGTGATTCATAATCATCATGGGTTGTGTTGGTGGCTGAATGTAATACGGATCTAGTGATGCACCATCTGAGCGATTCACTAGCATTGAGAATACTGAAGGTTTTTTGAAACTGTGCATGGTGGACAGATGTTTTTTGAACAGGTCGTCGCCGATGAGGTATGGGAAGGCCTTTGGGCACATCACACACTTATACTGATATAAAAAGCACCTCATTAATATGATTTTTTAATTGCCGAGTGACAACTTACCTCGGGATATTTGCGGTTTTCCATTTTTTGCTGGGCAGTACGGTGAATTGTTGTTCGGTGAATTGTTGTTTCGTGACTGTCTTAGCGTCGAATAATGTCAGAGTGAAATGCTTGACAGTCGGTTATTGGTGCCGGTAGAGGGCGCTTTTTCTGCTCTTCTCGTTTTGAATTTTTTGAACGTTATTTTTGGTTTGGGTTTTACTTCCATTCTAATGATTCTTTTCTTTCAATCAAGAAATATGGAAGATTTAAAGAGACTGGCATTGGCGCAGCATGAGGAATTGGGAGAGGGGTACGCAGATCGAGAGTGGATTAGATGCAAGGATGTTAATGGGAGATCGGAAGTATTTAGAACGTGCGTGGAGCATACAAGCTCAATACTAAAACGTATTTCGACCACCATGCTTAATATTGATCTGATGCTGTCGGATGATGATTTTTCTGAATTTAAGAGTAGCTGTGAAGTGACTAAAGCAGCCGCGAAGGAACGGCGGGAAGTTGCGATCGAGGCAACATACAGACCTACTAACCCATTTTTTGACAAAGAAAATGGTTGTTTTAAGTATGGACCAATTAATTACAATAGTAAAGCTATTATTAATCTTACTCAGTGTATTATTCCTGAAGACATATCCACTGCTCTAAGCTATGGACGAAAATTCTTGTTTCCTTATAACACCACGGATGAGAATTTATATCAGGTGGCTGCTCAGCTGGACAACTGTATTGAGGATACAGTGGCACCGTTGTTTCGGGAGTATGCCTCTGGAAGAATTGCTGGAGAACTGAAAAAAAGAGATCAGTTTCAAATGGATGTTAATAGACAGTGGCTTACGTTTATCAATCATAGAACGATTGAGTTTTTCATCAGACATGATGATGTCATTGCTATGAAATCTGATAAGGGAGGCCATGTAGTTCTGGCAGAGAAGGCTCGATATGATAATGAAATATTGGATATGCTCAACAATGATCAATATGAAATCCTTTGGACTTGCCCACTCAAATGTTTGGTGGAAAGAGAAGGCAAATTGATTGATTTATGCAAAAGAAACTACAAATGCAAAAAACTTGCCTCAGTATTACGAGGATATCAACCCAATATATTGCAGTTGTCGAAAAGTGAAATCATTTATAAGAGAAAGGACGAATTAAGGACTAAATCTGTGAGCGATCTGTTTGCAATTTGATCCCCT